TATTCTCACTCCTCTCTCTCACTGCAGTTACTGCTGCACAATAACTTTTCCCTTTCTTAAACACGTTATCACAGGGGTGCTACTGCTGTCACTGGTTGGCTCGGCCTTGACCAGCGACTGGTCTGTCTTAGAGCCGGCTGGCATGGGCTGTATTGGACGTAGGGGAAGCTTCTGGCAGCTTCTCACCGAAGCCACTGCTATAACCCCCTGCTACCAAACCCTTGCCACACAAACCCATTACAAGTACCATCTAGTATTGCAAAGATAATAAACTCGATAGCACAGCATGCATGGTCATAGAATCTTTTGCTTGCTATAAATTGTACTAGATGAGAGAGAGGAAAAAGACCTGTGTGTATTAAGTATCTGAATGAAAATATCAGTTTGAAGCAAAGGAAGAAAGCAACTCTTAAGATTAGCAAAGGTCTGCTCAGAAGAGCAGCTTTATGGGGCTCTCAGTAGATTCAGCTGGTGTAAAGGAGATTTAGTCACTTTTCAAGAATGATGAGTTTGAACTGGAACAGGTGCAGTGAGGAGATGCAGGAGGATCAGAGAAGGGTATATTTACTTCCTGAGATCTGTATTTTGGGGATTGTTTGAGGGCTTCTAGAGTAATGGTTAAGAGAGGATATGTTTATTTAATATTAAATGAATAAAATGGGTGGATAAAGGAAAAAATGTCACCTCATTTAACAGATGTTGTGAATGAGTGGTCTAGATCACTTAAAGGATCACCATCTAAGATACTAGCAAAAGTGATTTTAATGTGAGTTTGTAAAAGTGCGACTTAACAAAGTTCATCGGTAAGGTTACCTCTCTTTCTTGCTACATGGAAGAAACATACGAAGGAGAATCTATTTAAGATGATTTATGCAGAGGCTGGAGATGAAAAGGGTAAGGGAGGCCCTCCAGTTTAGTCACGAGATTCAGAGTGGACCCCCTTGCTTTCTAAACTCCTGATGGAGCTTAGGTTCAGCTAAGACCAATCTTAGTCTCAGACTTGGTCACCAGTTTATGCCTAATGGAATTAACACAAAGGGTAAGGTAAACCTCCCTTTGAGTCACTATGTTTGGAATGGAGCCCCTTGCTTTCTGAACTCCTTCTCAGAGAGGAGCCTAGATGCAGCTGGATCCAGACTGAGTTCCAGACTTGGTCAAGGGTTTATGTCTAAGGGAATTAGACACGTGGATTTCGTTAGCATGAATTCAGCATGCTATCAGTCACCTACCAAGGATCTGTTGCCAGTAAGGGGTCTCTTTGCCTTAGGCAAGGAAGGATCTCTTAGTCTCAGGTAAGGAACCTCAAACCTTGAGCAGCGTCCCTACTCAAGGGGAGAGTCACCTGGTTAGCGTCCGGTTGCAATTCAGGTTGGGCTCATCCAGTGATCTGTCATTTGTAAAAGGTCTGGCTGCCTCGAGGTGTGACCCTGAGAGGCCTCCCAGTTCGAGGGCAGATCGCTGCCATGCAGCCGCAGTGCCTGTCAGGGAGAGCTCAAAGGCGGCTCACTTAGGCTGCCATGTTTATGGGATAAAGTGGTTGGCTCATAGTCAAATCGCATACAGTGGGAAGGTGTACATGAGGCTTCTTGTACTCACGGCTTACTTTGTTCCTTGATGGATGAGTCTTGGAAAAACCACCTGCTTTTCATGTATTAATTGCATAATCAGTGTTCCGAGCTCATACGCATCGATGCTCACTGTGTCACTCTGCTCCTTTGTGGGTTGTCTGGAGGACTTCGTGACCCAGCCATGGCTGAGGCCTTTACCTCCTTTGGAGCCTGCGCCAAACGGTGGCTACTTTGGTTAAGGGGGTTGAGTGCATCCGTCACAACAAATATTGGCAAAAACCTGATGCAGTTTGCCTGGAGAGTCCATGTAGTCTTGAAGCTGAAAGGCTTTCAACAGTCAGAATAGTCAGATTTCAGACCTGTAGAAGTGTAACTTGTGTCAGAATGGAGCCTAAGTTTATAATGAGGTAGATGTAAGTGCCGGCAGTGGTGTAGACTGTATCTGTGGTCTTTCGATAAGGCTTTTTGAGACTTCCACTTAGTGAGAGAAATCAGCAGTGTTGCTGTTTCACCCCTGAAATAAAGTGACTTTTTATACTAAAAGGTAATGAATCTGGTAAGAGAAAGCAAGGTGCATATAATACGCATCTTGTACATAACTTGTAAGTTATCTGAACCACTGTGGTTGAAATATATCCTGCCCTTTCTATCTAACTATAAATATGATAGGGAAATACAAATTAAAAAAAAATTAGTAACTTTAAACATGTGTTGTAGAGATGCTTACACTTTTATATATTAACACTTTGTTACATAAAGCAACCAAAACCCAGAAACCTTAACTTCAGTAGCTATTTAACTGTTTTCCTTCCTTCCTTCAGATAACAGTGATCTCATTGCTTGTACAGTAATAACAAAGGATGGGGGTCAAGTTCAAAGATTCCTGGCTGTGGATATTTACCAGATGAGTTTGGTTGAGCCAGATGTTGCCAGACTTGGATGGGGAGTTGTTAAGTTTGCAGGCCTTTTGCAGGTAAGAGAAGTTTTAATCTGAGTGGTTACTTTTTCTCAGCCAAAAATCTGCATTTATGTTGGATAAGTGGTAATACTAGTATTAGCTTATATATTTGAGCTCTGTACCATGCTTACTTGTTTCTTCTGTTACTGGTCTTTTTTCTAGTTCCTGCCTTTTAAACTACTTCTGTTTTTCTGATGAAGTTTACATAGCTACCTTAGAGGCACACTTGAAAATGAGGTGCCTTCCCTAGTCTGTATTGGGCTGTGTTCATTTGAACACTGAAGTCATATACAATTAGGATTGAGTCCCAAACACTTACCTTGACTGGCGCAGTAATGAACTCTCCTAGAGTTCTGATCTTCCTACATGGGTAGGGAAGATAACACCTTGTAGCTTGAAAATGATCTGTGCTTATCAAACTGATCTCAAAAGCTTTAAGAAGTTTGTCGTTTATGTCTCTTTCTTGCCTTAGCCAACACTCTTCACATTTCCTGAAAATTTGCTGTGCTCAAGTAACTTAATTGAATTATAAACTGACTTAATCTCTACAATTCAGGACCAATTTCTGAAGAACTGAATCCAAGGTTGTACTTTTTTTTTTTTTTTACGTTGTAACTTTTTTTAGGAGATTTAGTGAAGCATTCATAGGGTTTTCTTTTAATGCTGGTATTTAGTCTGTAGTTTAAAAATGCTACCTTTTTCATTACCTTCTCACCTTCTGTTTCTTTTTAGGATATGCAGGTGACAGGAGTAGAAGATGACAGTAGAGCTCTGAACATAATAATTCATAAGCCTGCCTCAAGTCCTCATTCTAAGCCATTCCCTATCCTTCAAGCTACATTTATTTTTTCTGATCACATTCGCTGCATTATTGCAAAACAGCGTCTTGCAAAAGGCCGTATCCAAGCTCGGCGTATGAAAATGCAGAGGATAGCAGGTGAATGGTTATTTTGAAATAATTCTGAGAAACAGGACTTGTATGTCATAGCAACTCGCTCTGTAACATGTGTTAGAAAAAGGTAAGAAGTGGTGTGCCACAGAAAACTGTAAACCAGTATCTAGTTTCCAAGCAATAGATTTTCTTGGAGTAAAATACGTGTTTTCATATTTAATGATAGACACATCAAAGAAAGGATGAAAAAGAATGAATCCTGTCTTGTTACCACTAGCTGCCAATTGTTTCACAAAACTTAGCATTTCTCTTTAAATGTGATTCAGTGATTCAAAATTCAAATACCCTACTTAGAAAGCAGATGTTCTACTGCCTTAGAACTAAATTGAAGCTCAGCTTGCCTGAGACCCGACTTGGGTGGTGTCCTGATGGTGTTGATGATAATGCTTAATGCTTGGATGTGGTGATGATGAGCCATCTGAAATGTTAAGTGGAGTATCATCAGCTAGATTTCTGTGTTTGGAGGAAATGCGTGTTGAAGAGATGAATGAAAGAGTTAATTTGAGTAAATAGCAAAGAGTGCTTAAAATATGACTTGAATATTAAGTGAGTGAAGAGTAAATTGAAGCTTACCAGTAAACTGAATGAATTGGTATAGAAAAGGAGACTCTGAAATACAGGAAGGAAAGTAGGTGGGCAAATGAAAAGGATACCAACTATTTCAGTTACTTGGCTTGTCCGAGAGCAATAATGAACTAATCAGAGTTGTGAAAAAGAAAGTCATAATTGGAATTAAAATTACTGAGTTGACTAGAGAATTATTCTGATTATAGATGGTTTAAGATGACTTTAGTGTAGTTCTGTAGGAAACTAACTAAAAAGAGATGTATGCTTTGAGTTTAAAAAATAGATATATCATACTTTTATGGCTTGCTTAATGTTAAAAAATTTAAAGCAAGTTTGAGGTTGGTACAGGTCTATTTCTATACTAAAATTTTAGGTTGAATGGTATGGTATTTGAAGGAATGGTATTTTTTTTGCCAGTTTAAATCAGATTGTCTCTTTAAATGACTTCTTGCTGTGTTCAGTTGTAACTAATGAATGACTCCTTGTACAGTGAAAGAGAGGAGGGTTTTTTTTTTTAATAACTCTTATGGCTTGTTTAATGCAAGGAGCTTACTGTAATCCTTTTTTTTTTTTTCTCCACTGTATTCTGAGGCTTACTTAGCATGGACAGCAATGGTAGAAAAGGTAGCCAGAGATGTTGTCTCCCTTTTCCAATGCAATTGTAACTAATTAAGAGGTAGATGTAGGCAAATTATGTTAAACAATCTGGTTTATTTTATTTTCAATTTTATTTTATCCTACTTTTATGTATTTTTGAGTAACAAAATGTATCAATTGTGATTAAACATAGCTCTCCTGGATCTTCCTGTTCAGCCTTCAACTGAAGTTGTTATGGGTTTTGGTCACAGCTCTGCAGCTACAGCCCAACACCTTCCATTTAGATTTTATGACCAGTCACGACGTGGTAGCAGTGATCCTACAGTGCAACGCTCTGTTTTTGCATCTGTTGACAAAGTTCCAGGTAAGATTAGCATTCATTATCAAGCAGGTTTTGCTTTGTGGTTTGTATCTGCAAAAGCTGAGCTGTAACTTGTATAAACAATGAACAGCTTTCTGAACACGCAACTCCAGGATGAGACTGGAGAAACTTTGCTCCTAGAGAAACAAATAATACCTGGGTGTGTATTCCAGATACATTGTGAGCAGTACATCCGTGGCAGTTTCTCCAAATACACTGAAGTGTCTTAATACTTTGCCTTCCTTTACAAATTGAGTTGAAATCATGTTTCACATACTCAGTATTTATGCAACACATCTGTCAGTTGTGCGTAGTTCCTCCTTTAATTTGGTTATGGTAATTTTTCTGGCATTTTGTAAAGTGTACTGCTTTTTTTACCTTAGAGCTAGCAAGACAGAAAAGGGCCACAGCTACTCCTAAAACATTAGCTTGGAACTGAGGTTAAAGGAATTATTCTAAATATGAGTTCTTTGTTATTTTGCCTCCTTATTGTGTATTTCACAAATTGACTTCTCTGCAGGTTTTTTTTTTCCAGATGGTGAACTTTTCTCCTTTTGGATCGAGTCATTTTAAAGTTGAATCTCATACTGCTTGAAAGTACATAGTTTTGCTCTATTATACTAAAAGATGTAATCTTGTTACCACTAGCTGCCAATCATTTCACAAAACTCAGCATTTCTCTTTAAATGTGATTCAGTGATTCAAAATTCAAATACCCTACTTAGAAAGCAGATGTTCTACTGCCTTAGAACTAAATTGGAGCTCAGCTTGCCTGTGTCCTGATTCTGGGGAACAGAAGTTATATTGGTGGTCAGGTTTTTTCAAAAGACAAATGTATGTTGTATGGTGGGAAGTATTTCCTTATTTGACATGACTTCCATGGAAAAGCTGTGTTCAAAAGATGCCAGTGTTACTGTTTCAGCATCAACCTTCTCTAAGAGTGCTCTTGTGTTCATAACAAGTGACTTTGTCTACTAATTCTTGGGGGGAGGGGGGGTATTGGGGGAGGTGCAACGTGGTAATTTATTCAAACCACCACATACTTACTTTGGATTCCAGAAAATGGAGACTTCCACTGTATGTATGTGCAAATCCAGATGAAAAAGTATGTTAGAGCTTTTATTTGATACCAAATATGAGAAACCAGGCACAGAACATAAAGTATTTCAAATTGTGCATTTTTGAAATTCATTCTGCGATAGCCAGTAATATGATAAAATGGATTAGTATGTTTTTACATCTGATTACAAAATAAATGCCTCTTCCTTCTCCCTTTATTTTCACTAATGAATGAATGAGTTTTCCTAGTTCTGAGTGATTTTCACAGGAATCTGTTTGTGTTTATCATCCCTTAATTAGACTTGGAGTGATTTTTACTTTAAGAGAAATTTTTGTGCCTTTTAAAAAAATTACTGAACAACTTGCTGTTAAATTACTAGCTTCATGTATTCATTTCTTAATGCAACAGCTTTAAGTGGTGTTTAAGAGTTCTGCAAAGTTAATATAATCTGTTAATTTGATTATAAATGAAAGTAACAAGTTATGCTTTCCCTTGGTGCTGATGTTTTTTGTTGATTTAAAGGGGAGCTATGGTTTTGGCCATATGTTTGGAAGATTACTCACTTATTTTAGTAGGCCCATGTTAGCTGTCAGTGCTGTACATCCAGTATGGTTTTTAAGAACTTGACAATGACATAAAGGTTTTCAGCCTCCCTGCAAATTTCAGTCTGTGGAGAATTTTAGTTACGACTATTGAATCAGGTCTCTAATCCCTCTTCTCAATTAATTTAGAATTTTCAAGAACACTTATTTCAGTCTGGTCTGGTTCAGTTTCTATTGTAGTGCGTACATAAAGCTCTGCATATTTCACTGGAGAGCATGCAGTTGCCTTATTGTAGTCAAAACTGTGCTTCACCTGGCTTTATTGTTTCGTGGTCCGAAGTTAAAATCTGTTTTGAAAGTGCTTCTTGATATCTGGGGGGAAGAGGGTGAGGATTGTTACGGCTTAAAACCAGACTTTGTGCAAGACAGGTCAAAGGTGACAAGATTATAACAGATCATGGTTCAGAATATCCCACTTAATACTCTTTTGATGTGTTTTGACTGTTTGTTCAAGCTCTTAAGTTTTAGAATGTTTTGAATTGCTTTGCATCTGCTTTCTTGTCCAAGCTAAATATTAACTCATAAACTTCCTTGTCCTGTTTTGCAGGCTTTGCTGTAGCCCAGTGTATAAATCAGCACAATCAATCACCACTCTCGTCACCATCACCTTCCAGTGGGAGTACAGGGCGCTGTGATTCAGTGACGGCAAGCTCAACATCCACTCCTTCTGCTGCACAGAGCCCATCAGGTATTAAATCATGATTTTCAGCCTAGGCACTAAGGGATGTAGTGTAGTTTATTGTAAAGTTAAGTTACTGTGTTATTGGATTAAAAGCAGTAGGGCTTTATGTTTTTTAGATTACTTGATCGTTCAACTAAACTAGTTATATTGTGGTGCAAATTTTAATGATCTCTTGGGCTTTCAGGAACTCTAAAAAACACTTGTCATCTTTCAGCAATGATTTTAAGTACTAGTGAAATAATGTCCTGCTTGTCTGACCTGTCTCCTAGCACATACAATTTAAAATGTTGTGGGTTTTTTGGTGTTGTTTTTTTTTTAAACTGAAGTACTGCTTTGCATGAATTTGTAGTGAAAACTGTTAGCCTTTCACCATAGTGGTTAAGCTGATCTCCACATGAAGCATGTGGGGTTTTTTGGATTTTTTTGGTTTTTTTGGTTAACTGGATGACATTTGCTTTTGTATGCTTACTTGATACTCATGTTAATAGGTCAAACAGGAAATGTTTGAAAATAGTTATTTGGGATGTTAATATCGTAAAGATTTTTGCAGTAACAGTGTTCTGGCTGAACACCACAGCATTTGAGGAGGATGTTTTCTTGGTGCAGAAGAAGCTGCTGTATAAATAGCCTGACAGTGTAACTTTCACAAATGTAGCTACTGTGTGTTTGTGTTGGTCAGTATGTTTAGTGGGTGTGTTTATACTGGGACTTCTTCCCTCCTTTTTTCCTTCATTCCTCCTTTTTTGTGTAGTATTTGTAGAGAATCTTGTAATGGTTTTCATTGTGAGTGCAAATTATGTGTGAGGTAAAGCCTCAAGCTGGAGGCTAAACAAGAAGTAAAACTTGAAGGGTGCATACTGAAATGCTTTCATGCTAGAATTGGCCTACTCTAATCATTTTGATTATAAAACAATAGAGGTAACTTGATTTTCAAGACCTTTTCAGACAGCCCCCTCATTTTAACAGTCACTTCCAATGTTGATCACACCTTGAAATGGTTGTTCTAGTCCACCCTTCCAAGACATACCATTTTGCCTTTATTTGGAAGCCTCGTGTAGATCTCAACTTTTTTCAGTCCTACAGGAAATGATGCAATCTCTGTTAGGCATTTAGTGTTTTGTAGGTTTCACTGAACAGTGTCAGGAAATCACTGTACATTATAAGTCTAAAGTGACTATTCCTGTAAGAAATATTGCTGGGAAAAGGTAAGCGAAGGGTGCTTATGAAGTTTATCAACAGTGTGTAAAGCATTTTAGCAGCCAGACTCTAGGTCTGTGAGAGACAAACATATAGTCAAAATATCCCTGCAATATGTGTAATTCCAGAATAAAATTTGGAATACTTTTCTATGTCCAATCTATTTAAAACTTTGGAAGGACCTAATTTTATTTTCTCTGTTCGTGACTGCTGTTGTCCAGTCTCTTAACAGCCTAGATAATATGTGGTGATTACACAGAGAAGTGGTATCATCTGTCAAAAGTCTCAGTATGGATTGACACTACAAGAAAACGTTTGTTGGACTACCTGTTTCTCCTTAGCAGTGTAAAAAGGCTCATGTATGATGTCCTTTGCTGTATTTGAATCAGGAAATGAAATGCAATCGCAAGTTCATGGCAATAATGGCTAAGAGAAAACTGTGGTAAAGGAAATGAAAATTAAAAAATCTAAATTATTTTTGTTGTTGTAAGCAGCATGCTAGTTCACAGAAATACCACGCAAGACTATGCTACATATGTCAAACAGAGATCTTTCAAGTGTGTATAGTCTTGATTTCTGTGAAAAACTGAGTAGATCCAGAGTACGGAATTCCTCATCTAGCATAGAAAGATAGTGCCTTGTTGAAGAATAGTCATAGACTGTAATTTACAAAATTAAAATCTATGTATTCCGTATGTTGGCATTTGTATAACATAAAAATTTATTTTTCCTGCAGTTTAAAAAGCCTGATCACAGGACGCTGCTTATTGGTTTAAAAAACCCCAAAACACCACACAACAAATAAGTAAAAAAACTCAAACACCACCTCAAAAGAAAAGAAACAAAAACCAGCAAAATAAAAACCAAACACACAAAAAAAAAACCCAAACAAACAACAAAAAAACAGAGAAAAGGCTTTTTGGGTTTTTTTAAAAATACCTGGTTTCAGTCTGTACTTTACCAGTTAGGTTGCATAAACTGTCCGTGCTTTGTATGACATTCGTTGTGGCTTAATCCTAAAGTAGGTTCAAATGCCACGTATCATGCAGGAAAAGTCTTTGGGTGGGTTTTGCTTTTTTGCACAGTCTTGGCACACTGATGTAGATGCTTTAGCAAATCTAGTTGTGAGGATACAGTTCTGTGCCCTGCTACTACAAGTGACCTTCGGCAAAGTCAGTGGAAATGAACATGAGAATCTGCATCAGCTACTTCAGTCCCAAGTCAGCAGCTTGCTTTAACGTGCTGCAGGGATGACTTTTGAGCCCAACTCCTGGATTTTGTTCTGCTAACTCTACTCGGAGAGCAGTAACAAAGAGGAAGACAGTGACCGTATGTGCATGAGCAGGTAATTCAGTGCAACGGGACAGCAAATGGTTGGTACTGAGGTGCATGCATCAAGTCTGCATGTGGCTTAGGGATTTTACCGTGAACCATATTTACTCTGACCTTTAGGACCAAGCATCCCTGCCATGTATGTGCTTGTCTGAAGGACTGATTACAAGTTCAGACATATGTTGCTATTAATATTTGAAGTTCATTTGGTGCATAGTTGCAGCATATAGTTTGGTTTCCTTCTGAAAGAATCTCATTAATGAACAGAAACTGTTCCTATAATCAGACTAAAGCAGTAAGTGTGCATAATTCTTCAAAGCTGCTCTATTGGTCTCAACCAAACTGATAATGTAGTGGCAGCCAATAATGAACAAGAGTGTTTTAAATAGTTATAGCTGAGTGGCTGAGAGTGTCTCAAGGTCCTCTGGTATAGACTAGAGAGGATTCTGAAATCCCTGGAGCTGGGTCTTTTAGGGGGTGGGGGCATGGGAAGCATTTTCTCCAACCCAGGGAGCTGCTTTGACATTTTTTGCAGTGTCAGATCAATACTATTGTCTATTCCTGGGAGCAGTGTTTCTGGATTAACTGATTTGACCAGTTTACTTCAGGTTTGTAATGTGTTCTCATGAACATTCTCCCTTTTATAGTATTTATATTTAATTGTGGTCTATACTGGAAACTATTGCCAGGAGCATGACTGTAAACGAGATTATCTGTTTGATATGTCCCAATAGCTGCTCTGTGGGCTTCTGTGTGAACAGAAGTACGTTGCTGAAATAACTGATAGTGTCTTGACCACTGTCTGTGTTATATCAGGTCTTGCTGACCACTCAGCTGGAAACAGTTGTTGGTATTCACTCCCTTCGATGTAAAACAACGTGATTTTCCCTTAGCCTGTTGAGGACAATTGAAACTGAACTGCCTTGCTCTGCTGTGAAGCAGAAGAGGAGGCTTGCATGATGGGAAGTGGCTGCTTCAAGGAGGAAGTAACAAGTAGCTGATGAACAGCAAGCAGTTACCAAGATCTGTTTTATGCCCCGAGGCAGCACTTGAATGCTGCCACCATCTGCAACGTTTGAATCTCCCTTCTCATTTCCCATTCCTTTTTAAACGTACTCATGCAAGCACACATACGTGCTCTCTGTCCTTCCCTCCTTCCCTGTTCCCATGTTTGGTCTGGCAACTGCTCAGATTGTTGACCATGAAGAACAACATGCTAGGTTGGTCAAGAACTTCAGTTGTGAAGGCCAGCCAAAATAAAGGAGAGATGGGTATGTGGGCTTCAAGCAAACTACCTCAACTACCTTCCATAAAAGTAACATCTTAAATCACAGCAGCTGTTTCTACTGTAACCTTATGATTCTAGTGTTTGAAGCTACTGTCTGTTGACAGATATAAACTGTCAGTTTGTTATATTTGAGATGGTACTTTTAATCTTCACGGAGTGGTTTCAGGAAATAAGATTTGGAAGATAGATACTGACTTTTACATAAAACAGTGAACAATGAGAACAAAATAAAGACAAATTACATAATTGTTAGTTGAGAGAAAACTGTTACAAAGTAGAGTATATATCAATGGTTAGACAGTAAGAGCTTTCAAAAATGTATCATAGGGAAAAAATTAATTTTAATTTGGTGGTGTGAAAATAGTTTACTTGCTATCACTGCTACCTGCATCAAACAATCACACAGTATCTTGATGTGAGGAGGGAGATTAACTGAACTTACATAAAATCATATGGCTGCTGTGCATGCTTCAGTCATTGGAAGAGAACAAGAGTTGCATTAATTGATTTGTCATGAGTAAAATAAACTCAGGAATCATAACAGTTTATCAGCTGTTCTGCATAATAACTGTCACAATACTTTGTGGCACAGATATTTTAAAGCCTAGCAGCTTCCCCACTTGAATTATTTGGGAATTAAGCTTAGCTCTTTACAAGATCTCCACTCTGTAAAACTGAAAAAACAGAAGTCATCTTTTAAAGAAAGCAGAATCCCTAGCAAGAAAGATACAGCGGTATCAGATTTTGCAAATGCTGCTATGAGGTTGAGTTTTTTCTTTAGATACATGATTTTTTTTTTTTAATTAACATGTCCATTTGAAGTGTGTTGGTATGCATAAGATCAAAATGTTCTTTTGCTAGGCAGATTTTAATCAAGCTTCTGAGATTAGAATACAGTCTCTTCTTGGCTACACCTGCTGGAACTGTACACTTTAAAGTGCTTATTGTTATATATGCCAAGGATTAAGATCAAGAAGGTCTCTTACTGTAAGTTAGCAGTCTTCCAGAATTATGTATGTGTAATGTCATCTAAACTGTGTTTTATCACTTTTTAAGTTGTCTTAAGCTTTATAATGCAATTGGCTTCAATACTTAAGAAAATATTTACATTGGAGCAATGGATATTGAGGACTTCAGAAGGCATTGGTGGTCTTTGCCACTTGTGCTGTATTTCATACTTCTGGCAGAT